TGTGGGTATCACTGATCGAAACTTCGTGCTGAGGCTAGTTTCCTTGGGCCTCAATGTTGTGTGCGATGTTGACATCGTTATCTGCCATTTGTTATGATTTTTGCTAAGAACAAAGAATCAAAATAGGTTAGTAATAGATGCAAGGATCAACTCAATTACACAACTATCTAAGCCCCACGGTGGGTGCCAAATTATTTATCCTTAAAACGGTACAACTGAATTTATACGTGGTTTATAGACAAGTGAATCGATTTGATCCAAAAAATGATAGATAAATTAAACAAGAATGTAAGACTTAGCGTTGAAATCAAGATAAGACATCTGAAATCCTGTTTTCGGGAGCAGAGCTTCCAGAGGCAGCAGTAACAATCTTAATAAGAATAAAGATAAAATATTATTAAGCTTAGAACAATGTATAGTATAAGTTTCTGAGAAAATTCCTCCCCTTACAATGGTTGTTGAGCTCGCTATTTATAATTGCACCTAGGGAACAAGGTCCTAGGATGAAGCTCCTCTTAAATGACAATTATGAAGGCCAGAATGTGTAACAGTAGGCAGTGAATGTCATATTCTCTATAACGGACCACATACTTAATGCTATAAAATATTCTCCATTAAATGCTAGCGGGTGACACGCATTTATTTCGCCTTTATGAACATCATTCTCCTCAGGAACAAACGAGATTGTTGCCTTCAGACCTGATTATCTTCTGCCTTCTGCTCCACGTGCTGCTTTATTATGCGAGTATCAAATATGAACATATTTTACCCTATACAATGTGTAGATAATAGGATCCAGGTCCCCTATGCCCAAATGCATTTTGTATTTGTAATTTATTTTATGTTAACAATTAATGCTTATCAAATAAAATTACCTATACATATTAAATAATTAATTGTAAAAAGTATTTGTTGGAGCATCAATCCATATATACTTAATAAATACTAGAGTCTGGGTCCTTAATGCGCAAGTTTATCTTATTATCAGGGGCTTAATTAACGCCGAAGAAGATCACATCTTTCTTGTGTTACACTATTCCCATGTGTTAGATTCCATGAAAGTTGTGCCAGTGTTGCACCTCATCAAAATCAACATGCATCGAGTTCTCATTTTACAGAGTTCTAGAATTTAAATTTTACGGTTTTTAGACTTTAAGCGGTAATCCTAAAAGTCGGTGATTGAATTTTAACTTTAATTTTTATATATAATTAAAAACTTGTTAAAACATATTCATTTTAAGCCAAAGTTATTATGTTCTGTCGAATCGATATAATGAAGGCTATCTCCGCCCCTGATCCCCAACGCGTCCATACATGACAAAAGTAATACTCACCCTGTTAAGGGTCGTTTGGTATGAGGTATAAGAAGGTATAATGTTGGTATAAAAATTTAATATCACCTTAGTACTTGTTTGGTTAGCAAACCTAGTATAAGTTATCCCGGAACTAAAATTAGTACCGGGATAACTTATACCTTGTAGGGTGGAGTAATTAGTGTCGGGATAACTTATACCTTCTTCTTAGAAATTACGTAATTGTCATTTTTAATACATCATACCAAACAATGGATAAAAAATAAAAGCAGAATATCTAATCCCAGCATAACTAATCCCAACATAACTTATTTCGGCATAAGCCGTATTCAAACCAAACGACCCCTTAAATATTAAACGATACTATTGTATTATTTTTGAATCACTCAGTTCAATTATATCAGTCTAAACTTCACACAACACGTGTATTTCACACCGCTAAAAGTGTAGTATAATTCGCTTTAAAAGTTCTTCAAATAAATTAATTTGATAAAACCAAAAGGGGAAAGCAAAGAGAAAATAAAATGAACGCGAAGGAGAAGAAGTGAAAAGAGAAAGAATAAGGCAAAGCAACCGAAGCCAAGTTAGCTAAAGAGATTCCCAACTTCTTAGTAACTTGTTAAGGTGTAAGTATCCATTTCCTTTGTGGATACATGCTAAAAACTTAATCAATAATACATGATAACATATATATTTTTAGTAAGTATGGTAATTATTAAATCACAATTAATATTATATATTTCTATCTTAATTTATCACTTAATCATGATAAGTTAATATAATTTGAATTTAGTCGGTGGTGGTTATCTACTTCTCTTTCACTATCCTTTCACTAGTCCCTCGCTCTCATTGGTTTCGAACCAAAGCAAGGAAAAACCTAAGAAAATAGACGTTGACGCTTGCTTTGCCTTTACTTCACAATTTTCATTCCCTCCCCCAACAACCAAATTAAAGCTTCTAAAACCCCTTTCTTACATTACATCCTCCTTTTGTATCAACCAAGTTCTTATTCAATTAGTTTTATTTTTATTTTATGTGACTTTTTCCTTTTTAATCTATTATTATAAAGATAACATATTTTTATATGTAAAAATAATTTAATTTTAAACTTTATATTTTACCTTTAAATACATAATTTAATAGACATAAAAATATCATAATACATTTAAGATCAGGAGTTTCAAAAATCTAAGAAAATAGACTCGCATATTTGGTTCGAAACTACCCCTCCTCGGGATACTTGAAACTATCTTGAGGAGGGATAGTTTCAAGTATCTCGGGTCTATAATCCAGGATAACGGGGAGATTGATAATGAGGTCTCCCACCGTATCAGTGCGGGGTGGATGAAATGGAGGTTCGCATCTAGTGTTTTGTGTGATAAGAAGGAGCCACCAAGACTTAAGGGTAAGTTCTATAGAGTGGTGGTTAGACCTACTATGTTGTATGGGGCTGAGTGTTGGCCAGTCAAGAACTCCCATGTTCAGAGGATGAAAGTAGCAAAAATGAGGATGCTGAGATGGATGTGTGGGCATACCACGAGAGATAGGATTAGGAATGAAGTTATTCGGGACAAAGTGGGAGTGGCCCCCGTGGAGGACAAGATGCGAGAGTTGAGCCTGAGATGGTTCGGGCACGTGCAGAGGAGGAGTACGGATGCTCTTGTTAGGAGGTGTGAGAGGCTGGCCATGGCGGGTCTGAGAAGGGGTAGAGGAAGGCCGAAGAAGTATTGGGGAGAGGTGATTAAGCAAGATATATGGCGCTACTTCAGCTCACTGAGGACATGATCCAAGATAGAAGGGTGTGGAGGTCGAAGATTAGGGTAGTTGGCTAGTAGGTAGTCGAGAGTTCCCCGTTCTTTTTTAGTAGTATTAGTAGCTCTCTTGTTCTTTTTCGTTCACTCTGTATATCGTATGTTCCAGTTTGTTACTGTTTGATGCTATTTTCTGTTACTGATTTCATTGTTGTTGTTGTTGTTGTTATTGTTAGGGGTGTTCATAAAAACCCGAAAACCCGAACCAAATCGAAAACCGACCAAAAAGCCGATACTTTTTTAGGTTTGGTTTGGTTTTGGTTTTGAATTTTAAAAACCAATCAAATTTGGTTTGGTTTTGGTTTTAATCAAAAAATAACCGAAAATAACCGAACCAAACCGACTATAAAAGTAGCTATTTAAATTTATTATTACGCCTATATATATGTATATTTTTATATAAAGTTTCTAAAATTTTATAGTACACATTAGTCATTTGTGTTTTTAGTCTATTTCTTTGCTAGTATAATAATCTAATTCTTTGCCTTTACATTCTAGTTTGATTGGTAATTTTTTTTTGCTAAATACAAGAATTTATTTCATGTTAAAAATAATCGATTTTTAATTGTGTACTTAAATTATTCATCACTATTTGATTCAATTATCATCAATATATTTTGGTAAATGATAGATTTCTCAAAGAGCAATTGATTTGATAGTGTTACGTTGAAAATGTAGTGGCAGGAATATGTGTTTGGTAGTGTATGTCTCATATTTAAGAAAAGAACCGATAAATAATCGAAAAAATCAAAAAATCGACAAAAACGACAAAAACCGAATCGATAAAAAACCGACTTAATTGGTTTGGTTTGGTTCCAGTATTTGAAAAACCAACTTACTTGGTTTGGTTTTTTTTTAGGAAAAAACCGACCCAAATCGAACCATGAACACCCGTGGTTGTTGTTACTATATTTGTCTTTCTCCCCTTTTCCTTATCGTCCTTCATCCCTTTATTCTTTCTTTCTTCTTCGTCTTCTTCCTTTCTCTCTTTTCACCTTTTCTTGAGCCGAATGTCTATTGGAAACAGTCTCTCTAACTCGCTAGGTAGGGGTAAGGTCTGGGTACACACTACCCTCCCCAGACTCCACTTGTGGGATTATACTGGGTATGTTGTTATTGTTGTAGTTTAAAAAAAAATCTTTCATTAATTTCCTACCTAACTAATTTAATACTCCCTCCGGTTCACAATAAGTGACCAATTTGCTTTTTCATTTTGGTTCAAAATAAGTGTCCAGTTATGTAATCAAGAAAGAATTCAATTTGTTTTTACAAAATAACCCCTATGTACATATCCCTAAAAAGTTCTCTTACTCCTCACATTAAATGTTTAATTAGGGGTAGTTTAGTCATAGTAGGTATGTTTGTATAGAATTTAGTATTTTCTTAATGGATGTGCTAAAAACAAATTGGTCACTTATTGTGAATCGGAGGGAGTAATATTTTTATTGTGCAACATTTATATACATACCTAACTAATTCAGATTTGTTTGACGAAAGACTCATTTAGGCGAAAAAACTCTCTATTAAAAATTTCGTGCCCGTTTGGATTGGTTTATTTTAAGTGCTTTTAAACCATTTTGTAGTGTTTGGATAGAGTAAAAAGCACTTATTTTTAAACTAAAATGGCAAAAACAAGCCAAAAGCCAAAAGCTAGAATTCTAACTTATGACTTAAAAGCTATTTTAACTTAAAAGCCACCTAAATTAAGCCTATCCGTTTTTTAAGACTAAAAAATTAAAATGAATATAGATCCTACCTATCTAATGCACCGCATCCCTCAATGGTAAGTCAAACGCCTTAGTATAAAAATGAAAACTAAGAGCAGTATATATTCTGTTTTTCGTCTGCTAAATCTAAGCTCATTCCACTCTCTAAAATGACTGACAGAGTTCATCCTTCAGCCAAATCCAATGGCACTGCCACCAATCCCACTGCTACCGCAGCAAAACCTCCTCAATTCCCTCCGATCAAAAACCAAATGTACAACCCAAATCGCATTCCGTACAGACCAACTCCAACCGCCTACCACCGACACAACCGTCGCCGCTGCAGCTGCCGCCGCTGCTTCTGCCTTAGTTGCTTCTGGTCACTCCTCATCATCTGCACCCTCCTCCTCCTCGCTGCCATCGCCGGCGCCGCCTTCTACTTCCTCTTCCGCCCTAAACCTCCAACATTCTCCGTCTCCTCCCTCAAAATTACGCAATTCAAACTCATAACCAGCTCCGACGACGCCACGCGCCTCAGTACAAAACTCAACCTCACGCTCTCCGCGAAAAACACTAATAAGAAGCTCATTTACAACTACGACGATATTTCCATGACTCTACAGTCAAATAACGTCGTAATTGCGAACGGATCATTCCACGGATTTAGTAATGGTCCGAATAATGTTACTATTATTCACTCGACTTTGTCAATGGCATCTGAAGTCCTCGATGCGGATTCTGTTACGTCTTTGAAATCAGATCTGAAGAGAAAACGTGGATTACCGTTGAAGATATATTTGGATACAACGGTGGTAGCGAAAATGGATAAGTTGAAAAGCAAAAAAGTTGGAATCAGAGTTACTTGTGAAGGCATTCATGGACTAATTCCAAAGGCAAAAGCTCCGGCGGTGGCTTCAATTACGAATGCTAAATGTAAAGCTGATCTGAGAATGAAGATCTTCAAATGGTACTTTTGATTTCTTCGCCTTTTGTTTTGTACAATCTACATCATTTTTTTTCTGGATATTACATTTTGTATATTAAAGAGGGAAAATTTGGATGGGGAAAATTATTTATTTTATAATTGTGAAGAAACAGGGAGTTTGATATTTTGCAGGTTTTGGTTTCCTTTTGCTCCTCAAATTAATTCTTCTTTTAAGTGACGCATTATAGGCATACTTAAATTTCAATGTGGATCAAGGATTTAATTTCAGTTGGTTTATATATATATATATATATATATATATATATATATATATATATATATATATATATATGTGTGTGTTTTGTGTCAGAAATACTGTAAAAGTTAGTATCCTACATCCGCCACTAAACAGGGGCGGAGCTAGCCCCTGACCTAGTAGCTTTGGTCCAAATTATATATTTGTCTAATTAAATTTATTGAATATATACTAATTACTCTCTTCGGTTGAATAAGTGATTTTTTGACCTCTGGCATATCCTTTAAGAAAATACTAACTTCTAAAAAATAAGTATTTTGACTAAATTACCTTTAATTAAAATTAGCATATTGTTAACTTGACAAATTGGGATTTGTAAACAAGGGGAAAGTTTGGAAAAAACAAAATTAATTTCTTCATGGTTACATAGAAGGTTACTTATTTTGGACCAAAATAAAAAGGCAAAAAAGTCATGTATTATAGGCCGGGGAGAGTACTAATTTAGAACTCAGTAACTTAAAAAATTAGAACCCCGAACCTATAACATACAGATTCTGGCTCCGCCTCTCTTAACACAAACATCAGCTGACCTGAAATTCTTTGAATCCAAAGAATGTCTTTGAACCCCTTACAGTCTATTTTTTCTTCAATTGGAGCATATGGATGGAAGACATCAAGTGCATGGATTAATTCCTCAAACTCAATCCCTCCATTTTTCTTTTCATCGAAAAGATAAAAAATCTAAATAAAAAGGAAGTTTATCATTAGATAAACTTAAGATGATTCTCTAGACAACGAAATATGCTCTCATATGGCAAAGTTGACACTGGCCAGATTCTTTTGACAACTTCTTTCCTCATTTTAAACTTTGTTCAATCAATGTATTCTTCAACCTGATTCCACGGCTCGAACCCATGCCATTTTAAAGTTGTCTTCTTCCCTTTTCTGCTTTTGATTTGCCCCCAGATAATAAACTCCAACCCTTAATTGGCAACTTCTAATAAATAATAATTCTAAAACTGCCTCCCGGTAGACCTACTCGTCGAAATCGAAAGGTTTGCCCAGAAACAAATAGAGGTTGGATAATATCAATTATAAGCTTTCAACTACTGATTATAAAAGCATAGCTGAAAAATACTGCTTACCTTATGTATTAAACCATCATCAATGATTGAACTACTCAACTTCTTAAACATATCACATAATGCTTCCACTTCATTTACTGTAACTGGAAATCAAAATTCATAAAATTTCAAACTTTAAGTTTCACTTTCCAAAACAGTATCGAATTATGAAACTACATCAGCCACCTAATTTAGCATGATATGAGATGTCTTAGAAGTTCGCAATATTTTCTAGAGAAATGTATATTTTTAGCGTACAATATATATATGTTTTATATATATGTGTATTATATACAAAACATATACATATTTTATATACTTTTTGACTAGCGAATGCAATTAGTTTCGTTAATCGATCGGTCATTTTTGTATTTGCCCTACTTTCTAGTGTCAAGAAAATCTAGTAAGCTAAAAGACTCCTAGAAAGCAGTATAACAGTAAATTAAACAAAATCGTCAGTTAACCCTACAAAAAAATTGTCCATGTTCTAATTTTTTTTTATTTTTAATGAATTGGTCATAGAATATAACAGAAGTAATAAAGTTGGAGATGAGCAAATATGAGTAAATTTACATGGAGATCCGTTAGCAAGTCGAGCGACGTCCCTGTAATCAAATCGCAACTTCTTGGGACGGTGCAAATGCTGCTGATATCTGAAGCAACCAGACGAAGCATAGAATAAAGCTTCAACAATTGCAATAATGGGGGAAAATGCAGCACAGATTTTCTCCGAAAATGTTAACGAGCTCGAACTCTGTATACCCACCAAATAAATATAAAAAATATTGAAGACAAACAGTAGACTAATACCAGAATCAGAGAAGATTTCGTGGATTACCAGAGAGTCCATCATTATGTATTGTAATACTCCTGCAGAAGTCGCTCCACCAGATCAGCTGAACCTTCAGCTATTTTTATGTAGACAGAAAAACAGAGGCGTGATAGGAATGCTTACCATGTACAAGATATTTCCATCTTTTGACAATATGAGGATTTGCAATTACTGGTGACAATATATATATATATATATATATATATATAATTTGAATTAAAGGATAATTTTGAATTTATAGTTAAAGTTTTTAAATTGGAATTAAAATTAAAAAGGAATTTATCTTTTGTTATCATGTTATCATACTTAATTCGGTTAATGATCATATACAATCATGTTAGTAACTTTTGTTACATTTTCTAATTATTTATAGACTACTTCGCTTCTGGCAAAAGAGAAAAAAACTACTCCATATAACTATAAAACTCTTTCACATTTAAAACCATATAATTATAGTTCTTTAAAACACTATAGCTAGATTTGAATAAAGCAAATTATTTTAAAATAAATATAATATATAGGGTACACGTCTATGTTTATCTAGATAACAAAAAAGAGTTTAAAAATCGAATAAAAATTTACTTACATAGATAATAAAGTAAATGTAATGATCCGGCCGGTCGTCTTGAGTATTTAGCCCCGATCCTCTATTTATTGCCTCCTCTGTGTTATATTGTGATTACATGACTTGTCGGGGTGTTTGATTTAGGTTTCGGGTGAGTTTTGGAGTGGAATGAGACACATAGTCCCTAAGTTGGAGGTTTAAGTTGTAAGAGTTGACCGAAGTTTGACTTTTGTGTAGACGGTCCAGAATGGAGTTTTGATGGTTTCACTAGTTCCGTATGATGATTTTAGACTTAGAAGCGTGTCCGAAAGTTGATTTGGAGGTTCGTAGGTCGTTTCGGTGTGAATTGGCGAAAATTAAAAAGTTGAAGGTTTGGAAGATTTGGGAACTTTGGCCAGGAGTTGACTTTATTGATATTTGGTCGGATCCCGATTCCGGAAGTTGGAATAGGTCCGTAGTATCATTTATGACTTGTGTGCAAAATTTGAAGCTAATCGGAGTTGTTTTGGAAAGAATCGTCATCAGCTTCGGAAGTTCATAGTTCATATGCTTGAATTTGGTGTGCGATTCTAAGAATCAATGTTGTTTGATGAGATTTGTGGCCTTGAGTAGGTTCGCTATGTGCTTTGAAACATGTTGGTATATTCGGGCGGGTCCCGGAGGCCCCGGGTGTGATTCGGATCGAATCCGGAACAATTTGGACTTGACCTCACTGCTAAAGCTGGGCTGTTTCTGGTGCAATCGCACCTGCTATAACGATCCAGAAATTCCACCCTCGGGACCATGATGGGGCCTAACATTTCACCTGCTAGTCAAGCCAACATTAGAATAGTTTATCCATTTTTAAAAGTTAGATCAAATAATAATAACGAAGCTGAAATAACTGAAATAAATTTGAGGTAAAGTGTGGAAAACCATAACAACTGAAATATCTAATAGAACCCCAAATCTGGTGTCACAAGTTCACGAGCTACTAGAATAGTACAAATAAAGGTCTGAATAAAAATAAAGCTGTCTGAAGGAAAGCACACAGCTAAGATAAAGAAAAAGGGGACTTTAGGTGTTGCGGACGCTGAACAACTGTACCTCAAGTCTCCACTCAATGGCCGACCCGAGCAATCTACGGACTGCCGCTGGGACTGACTCCAAAATCTGCACAAAAGTGTAGAGTGTAGTGTGAGTACAACTGACCCCATGTACTCTGTAAGTGCCGAGCCTAACCTCAACGAAGTAGTGACGAGGCTAAGGCAATCACTTACAATAACCAGTACGCAGTATAAAATAATGACAGGAAAGAAAAATACAGAAACGAATTAAAGCAGTTAACACATAAAAGTAGCTAAATCTCCGAAGAAGAACAAGTAAATGCCAGAAATACCAATCCTTAGAGTCTCGTATGAAAGTACTGAAGCCAACACAATACAACAAGGAACGTAAATCACATAAACTGTTGCGGCGTGCAACCCGATCCCACAGTACAACACAATTCTCCCTTATTCCACCATAATAATACCAATAATAATATGTAAATATATGTTGCGGCGCGCAACCCGGTCCTACCATATAATCAGAATCAATATCATATTTCACCATATCAATCCACCCTTATTTCACTTGTTGCAGCGCACAATCCGATCCCACCGTGTCAATATAAATTCACCCTCATTTCACCTATTGCAGGCACGCAACTCAATCCTACCTTACAATATGAATAAATCAATAAGTGCAATCAATTTAATAGCTCGAATCACAAGAATTTTCTACAATTAATGGATATGAAGTAGAACCAGAAAGGAAATATCATCTCAAATTAAGAATTCACTATGATTTATACTAAATAGTAAGACAAATCAAATAAATGACAACTAAAGGATACAGGTGAGTCATTTAAGGCAAGTAGCAGCAAATCATGGGAGCATAGGAGAATCTAACATTTTTAACACGAGAATAATAAGTGACAAGTAGCAAATAAAGGCATGAGAAGCATTTAAAGCATGTAATAGTTAAGGCATGAAATGAAATAATTAATAAAATGCAGAGAAAAAAGGAAACAAGTATTTTGGTGGTGCATATACACTCGTCACCTCGCATATACGCCACAACACATGAATTTCACATAGCACATAGCTCAAGGTTCCTAATTCCCTCAAATCAAGTTAAACCCAACACTTACCTCTCTCCGTAATCAACTCAGATCTCTACCGGAGCCTTTCCTCTAGAATCCGCCTCCAAAACCAATCGTATCTAACAAAGATCGACTCGATAACATCAAATAATGCTAGGAAAATCAATTACAATACATAAAATTAAGATTTTTATACTTTTCCCGAAAAGTAAAAAAAAATCAACCCTGGGCTCGCTTGGTCAAAACCCGAGATTCGGACCAAAACCCATTTAGCCATTCACCCCGAGCCCGATTATGTAATTATTTTCGAAATCCGACTTTGAGGTCTAAATCCTGAATTTAGAAAAATCTTCAATTCTTCCCAAATTCCTAGTTTTCTACCATAAAAGAACAAAGATTAAGGCTAGAAATTAATGGGTGATGATGGAAATGGAAAAATATATTAAAGTACACTAACATACGAAAGGGTGGTGAAATTTCTCATCCAAATCGCCTCTAGGCCGAGCTCTATGGAAGGATGGTGAAAAATAGGTGAAATCCCGTATTTGAAATATTTTAAGGTCTGTGAGTCAGGTCTTCATCGCGTTTGCGAAGGACCTGTCGCGTTTGCGAAGGACTTGTTGCGTTCGCCGATGCACATCAGTCAAAATGGCCTACGCATTCGCGAAGGCTTCTCCCCCCAAGACTTCGCGTTCGCGAGCCATTGCTCGAGTTCGCATAGAGGAAAACACTGATCCCCTTCCCAGGTCCAAAGCCTACGCGTTCGCGAGAAGCTGGTCGCGTTTGCGAAGGGTAAGTCCCCCATTGCTCAGTGTGCACGACCTAGATATCGCGTTCGCGATTAATGAAATCCACCCCAGCCCAGTTTCCCCTTTGCGATTACGAAGCACAATGCACCAGGTGACAACAGAAGTTAAAAAACCCATAAAATTCTAAGTCCGAAACATCCGTAGCCTATCCGACACTCACCCGAGCCCTCGGGCTCCAAACCAAAGATGCACACAAGTTCAAAAATATTATCTTACTTGCGCGATCAAAACACCAAAATAACACCTAGAACTACAAATCGGACACCAAAATGAATGAAATTTTCAATGAAACTTAAGAACTTTCGTTTTAACAACCGGACGTCCGATTCACGTCAAATCAACTCCGTTTTGCACCAAAATTTGCAGACAAATCATAAATACATTAATGATTTTATACCAAGTTCCGGAACCAAAATCCGGACCGGGTAGCGACAAAGTCAAACTTCGGTCAAACTTGAAATTTCCTTAAACCTTTAAACTTCTAATTTTCATCAAATTGCGATAACTCAAGCTAGGGACCTCTGAATTCAATTCCGAGCATATGCCCAAGTCCCAAATTATAATACGGACCTACCGGGACTGTCAAAATTGGATCCGGGTTCGTTTGCTCAAAACGTTGACCGAAGTAAACTCAAATGAGTCTAAAATATGATTTCAAATTTTAATCAATTTTCACATAAAAACCTTTTGGAAGAAGACACGGACAACTCACACAAATTGAGGAAGGCTAAACAGAGCTATTTGAGGTTTCGAAATACAAAATTAAGGTTTAAAACTATAAATGACCTATCGGATCATCACACCTGCGCACTACTGGCCACAAGTGCGGACTCGCAAATGCCAGGGCTTGATCGCAGAAGCGAATGGTGGCCTGCAGCTGGGAAAGCAGACACGGTCAGAGTCTCGTAGAAGCGGACTCGGAGAAGCGAGTGAGGAAGCGCAGAAGCGGAAATGGCTGGCCAAGCCTAGGGTCAGAGAAGTAGAACCCTTTCGCAGGAGCGAGAGCATAGATGCACATGTTCTCCGCAGAAGCAGGCTCGCTGGTGTGAGCCATGGTCCACAAAAGCGGGATTTTTGGACTTAAGTGGAATCTGCACCTTCGATGATTTTTCCGCCGGTGCGACCCCAGGCTCGTAGAAGCGGATTCGCTGGGCAGAAAAGGGGAAATTTTGAGGGTTTATTTCATAATCGACTTTTGGACTTAGAGAGCTCAGTGTGAGGTGAATTTTTGGGAGATTTTCAAAGAGATTATTGGGGTAAGAATTCCTATGGGTTAAATTACATGAATCTATCATTAATTTCATCATTTAATTAGTGGATTGAGTTGGAAAATTAGGAGAAAATGGTGGAAACGTCCTAGACTAAATTTTTAAGTTTTGAATGGCGATTTGAGGTCGAATTTGAGTAATTCTTGTTTGGTTTGACTTGATATCGAATGGGTGTTCGGATTTTGTAATTTTGGTCAGGTTTCGAGGCGCAAGCCCGAGTTGACTTTTTTTAGTTAACATTTTATTTTTTT